TCTCCTACTCTTTGAATTAGGACGGCACCGATTCCCGTAGCGCTAGCATCTGTCTCCAGCACGTACTGCCCACGGGGGCCTGCGATAAGGCCTTTCGGATGGTCCTCTGCAATATCGCCCTTTGAGAGGCTGTCACCTCGGCTAGTCCGATCGTAGCTAATCTTGGACCAGCCTCTAAGCTAGCTACCTGTAGCTTCATCTTGGCTTGTGATTCCTTGAACAGCAACGTATTATCGTCGGGGTCATGTACCGCTCTAAACAACCTGACAAAATTCACTCCCAGGATACATTCCTCGACGAGGGTTGGGAGGATAGCTACCCTCGTCAGCATCGTCATCTCCCCTACGGTGAACGGCAACCTGGCATGGCCAACGATCGTCAACTTACGACCATCGGGTAGTCCCGCCGTACCCGCGTGAGTGGTATCTAACCTGACGCCTAGCACAAACGCTATCTTTAGAGCGTTACTACCTATTGCTGTGGTGGAAGCCCCCGGATCATAGAGAGCCCGTATCTGAAAGTCTCCTATTTTTACCGGTAGCCACCAGCGCGTTTCCTGTTCTGGTAAATATTGCGAAACAGATTCGGCGGCTCCACGCCCTGCACTTTGCAGACCATAGCGCTAGCCACTGTGCCCTCGCGTGGTAAAGTGACGTCACTTGTCATTCGAACCACCATGGTTCGGACGATCGGAGTTTCCATAGGGTTACCTTTCGACGGTTTATCTGCCGCTACCCGCGCCCTCGAGGACATGTGCGATCCATTCACCACCACCTCGGCCGGTCCAGGGTCTTTGGCTTTACTACTACTTACCCTCTCTCTCCGCGTTCACCTTACCGCTGCGTTCATCATTGGCGTCACCAGGGGAGTTCCCGCTCTCGTCACTCAACACGCTCGCTACTAACGGTGCAGACTATGTTGGCGAAGGCCGTGAGACCTCGATAACGGGGTTTGGGTTGTGGGATGAAGGAGTGGGGTCAACCCCACCTAACCACTCCTTTCCTCGTTTCCCTTATTGCATTGGGGACAGTACTACCTGCTGTACTCCAGTAACCCACACTCGATGCATTTAAGTGGTTTAGAGAAATCCCTCTCTCGTCTGCGAGGAGCTTCCGGCTTCTTAGTTCGGTCCTCAGAGGTCAGGTTTTTCCCGGCGAAGTTATTTTTCATCCCTTCCGATATCTTCTTGAGAGATAGTAGCACTTGGCTGAGTATATCGGTGGGTGGAGTCTTCTTCTCGCCATCAAATGCCTCCAGGCTCGGACTAGGTGTCGCCCCCGAGGGCGTCGGCGTGTAGACGACCTGGTGTGTCACCTTCTCGAGCACTTTCTCCATACGGTCCAACCTGTCCCTGACCTCCGGTTTATCACTGGACATCGCTGCCACCTTGCCCTTACTACCCTTGCTTCCATCGGTACGAGGGTGGTACGCTAACTCCGGGTATAGAGTTGACTGAGGGTCTGGTACCAGCCGTTCTACCCTTCGCTGGTGTAAGCTGTTCTGGGCCGCCGTAGCCAGCGCGTTCAGGGTCCGTATGAAGTTCACTTCGGACCTCCGCACTTGACCTTGAATGTCCGGGAGAAGGTTGGCGTGCAGCAGGTCCAATTGACTATCAGGCATCATCTGGGGATTTACCCGCTTCATCAGGCCCATCATGTTAGCGACGTAAACATTCACTGGTTCGTCGGGGCCCTGATATCGGCTCTGAATCTCCTTCATTAGACGCTGCTGCTGCTGCACACTGGTTCTAAACCACTCTCTTGCGTCCATCTCGAACTCAGCGTAAGATAGCCATTCCTCCCTCATCGCCACGTACCAGGTGAGGGCGGGACCGACAAGTAGCTCTGATACGGCTAGGAGCATCTCGTCTTCCGTGAGTCCTGCGCCATTCCTCAAGTTGTCCAGCCTAGACAGGAAGGTGTCGATACTTGCATTTCCCTCTCCTGAAAACTTGAGTTTCTATCCTCGGACAATGCGACCAATATCCCTTGTAATCGACCAAGGGTTTGGTGATGACTGAGATGACCACGTGCTCAGTGGGTGGTTATTTACTTCAGCATTAACTCCACTGAGTTGATGCTGTCCACCCTCTCCGAAAGGGAGCGTCCGGCGGGGGGTCCCCGTGGGCCTCTGTCCGGGTCCAGCTGGAGTACTTTGAGGTACCCTGGTGTCGTAATGGTAGGTGAAGGTATCCTGGAATGCTACGCTCCTACGCGTGTTCTCATGGTGTCGCATTTCGCTGGAATTATTCGCATTGTCTTGCTGTACGTTTCTGTTTTCGGCATTTTCTAATGCGCTGATCCTGGCGGATAGGTCGTCCAGTTGGCTTTTCACATTGTTGCAGTTGTTGTATATTTGGTCTAATACCTTCGTTAGACTCGACACATTCACTCTTAATGAGTCTAGCAGCTCTAACTTCTTCTCATTCTCTCTGGACCGGAAAATGAGATCTTGAATCATCGCAGCGAATGCCGGTGGGAGTTGGAATTGGCTACCATTATTACTTATTACTGCTCGTGCTCTCGCCGTCGTCCAATACGTTTGTGATGTTTATCGCTGTTTCTTGAATTCGCGATATTACTTCCGCACTCTGCATTAGCTGGGCTAGCGGGTATTCTCCTTCTTGCTCAGATGCTGTGTGTTCCGCGCATAAGAATACTATTAGCTCCGAGCGTAGGGCTGCCCTTCTTGCCGGATTGCTCTCGAGAGCTTATTCCCGCTTATCTTGAGCTCCAGGTGTTCGAGGTACTCGTTAATTTCCTCGTCTTGGAGCGTCAACACCCAATCTTCTACCTCTTTTTAAGTGCGGTCCATTGTCATCTGTTAGTTGTGTTGCGGCTAATTTTAACGAAAATTTACACGCTTGTTTCACGCGTGATGCGAGTGCGAGTACTATATTAAAATCGGTAAGCAAGTGAAAATTTGGACTTTATTAGCCGACGACAGGCTCAACCAAGGGTATTCACTATTGTATTTACCGAAAGGCTCTTTGCTCGTTATTGCGCAATACGAGTATAATGATCCTGCCTATCAGGCGCACTAACTGTTTATTAGCGCGGCTGTGTTGGTTAGTATCTAAAATATTATAACAAGCGTCTGCGTGCGTAATCACCAATAACCGCAGCTAACAATATTTAAAAATTACATTTACGTTAAGGCAACACGATATCAAATAAAATTATCGATTTGAATTTCTTTTGTTTGAATGTTGCCGGTGTTAGTTTTCCCCGGGCCAACGGGTACAATATTTATTTGCGGCAACTTGCAAAACTTATTGGTGTTTACGCTTAATTATGAGTCGTTCGGTCGCACTCGCACGCGCTTACAGCGAATGTTTACAATTTATCGTCGCGGCGGGCCTTCGCAAGCTAACTAACAGAGAGGCTATGTTTACTACGTGGATTTTAATACAAAGTGCGCACAACAACACTTTGATTGCCACCTAAGTCGCTGGTTGACTGAGCGCAAGGTCAATGTTTAGAACCGGCGTTTTGAACAATCATAAACGCCTTAGGTTCTTTTACGTTGGGCGCCATGTAACGGAGTTAATACCGTTTATTTAATTTAAGCGCGCGATCGCATAGAAAGGTGCACGTGATTACCTCCACGTTCAAACACGAAAACCGGAGAGCAGGAGGGAACGGGTGTCAGTCAACCAACTATCTACTATTGAAATAAATACGATGAAATTCTAATCAATATCACATGCGAGATCGTTTATTTCCTCTAATTTGTACCCTGTATTCGGCCCGCGTGTTTATGTTTACAAGACATTCGCGCGACAATAACATGCGGAGTCGGATCGCTCGCCGCTCTTTGTTTGCCGAGATAATGCATGCATGTTTTCTAGCGATTACGAGAGATTAGTTATTTAGCAATTCTGTCGCGATCGCGAAATTAAGCTGGCCAGCTTACCTTGTTATCAGTTGTACGACAACACGAATGTGAAAACGCTCGCACCCTAGTTGCGGAAAAGTCAGTCTTTGTTGCGAGGTATCTCTCGTTCTCAGTTTCGCCCTCGATGGCGAAACTGTTCACTCGCACTCCACTTCGTCAGGATATGGCACAGCTTCTCTCTTATCGTCTCTGCACTTCGGAAAACTCGGGAAAACGTCCAAGGTATTCGCTGTACGGCTCGGCACTTGGATTCTAATCCTCGACTGCTTCGTTTTTGTACGCGCATGTTCCGTGACGTCTCGTGCCGAATTCCTCTAATACATTTTCCCCCCAACCGGCAGGTACTGCCCTCGCCGGCAGCCGCAAAAATTGTTTTCCTTGGATTTTCCCAAAAGCTAAAAATTGTAAAATAATGACGATGACGTTAGAAAAGAAAATGAAAAATGTAAAAGAATTAAAAGAGAACAACAAAACACCTATAAGGTCATAGCTTATTTGTTTTTTAAGAAATTGCACCGATTAGTCTAAAACTTTTTTGGAGGGTGGTGTTTATTTTGAGAGTGGTTTGAAGAATGAATTCGAACAGGTTAACTTTATTTTTATATTTGATGTACATAATATTTTTTTCAATTTTTTTTTTGCTTATTTTAATGTTTTTCTATAAAAATAGACATGGAAAAGGTAGAATTTTAAATAAAAAAAGTAAGGGTTGCACCCTTAATGGTTGGAATTGCATACGTTAGTTTTGTGAGTAGTGATATAAATTTTGTTTCATCGTAAACTATCAACTGGAAGCTGAGATACATTGGAAAATTCATTTTTGGGGGTGAACTTTGAAAGTGGTTTTCACACTTTCAAAGTCTTTTTCCGCCGAGAAAAAAAAACCACATACGTACTTGTATGTCTTATTTTTTCATGAAATATAACTTATTGAAAGATTATTAAAATCGGTGAAGTGAGGTTGGGAGGTTTCCTTAATAGTATCTGTTTCTTTTATAAATCAATTTGTTTCACTTTTATATAGGAATTTTTATCTACATTAACATATAGATCATTTTATAAATCACGCTTATTCCTTATTATTCATTATTTTGATTTTTCAGTGTTTAAAAGGTTGCTCTGAAGGAAAATATGGCACGAATTGCGAAAGTAAATGCATTTGTAAAAATGAAGCATCTTGTTCACCCATAAATGGATCTTGTATATGCACTCTTGGCTGGAAAGGAAAAAATTGTGAAGAACGAAATTGCAAAGAGGGTTTATATGGTTCAGAATGTTCAAAGGTGAGTATAATAATCAATACTTTAAGAAACTGACTCTTGTAGCCATTGAATAACTTGCAATACACAATTTTTAGAATTATAGGTATAATAATATGCAAATTAATTCTTATCGTTACATGTATTTATATTGGAGGTTAGTTCTTAGAATTGCTTATATAGATGTGAGAAATCGCATGAAAAAATTTTTTGATTTGAGAAAGTTATTTCAACATTCCAAGAAACATTTTCTGCGGATTTGAATAGCACCGCAATGTGTACGCTAAACTTTTCGCCTTTATTTTTTTTTTATGCATTTCATTCGAGAATATTCAAATCTATTAATAAGCATCCTTGAGACACTATTCTGTTACTCATAGCACTCCTAAAGTAGAAAAGATTTAAAACGTGATTTTTTAATAAAGAATTTTGATCTTTAGAAAAATGAATATTTTTTAAATGTGTTAGTATAGTGTTATGGAGTTCTTGATACCTAATTCGCTCTCCAATGGAGATAATCGTGACGACGAGAATAAAATAATTAACAGATATCGAATTTAGAATATATTTATTATTACTTTAAAAATGTAAAATAAATTAAATAAAAAGTATACGAGAAAAATGACTGCTTCAGAAGATAAATATTTTGTGTGTTACTACGGGAATTTACCAATATTCAATTAAATTTACATGAAAAATCAGTCTAGAGTAAGCGACGGTAGGCAAAATTATCGAAAGAAAAAGAAACAAAAGGAGAACCTGTCGTAGCGGGTACCCTTCACTACCTTTTGGATTGTTGTTTCCTTTACGATTTGTCGAGCTGCAGTCCGTCGTTTGACAAGAAATGGAATGTGCCTAAAGCACCGCTCACAGCCAGTCACTTCACAAGACGAGAGGGATTATCGGAAGTTTCGGTTGAAGTTGAACTTACTGATTTTTTTAGAGATATCGACACCTTTAGTGGATTTACACTTTTACTTCGACGTTTACAAGAAAAGAATTGTTTCGGTTTAAAATGGACTTTACTATTTAAGAGATATCAACACCCTTTTTACTTAGACGTTTCGCGCACCTTGTTATCTTTTCACTGCCGGTTGCCGGCAGTGAAAAGATAACAAGATAACAAGATTTGTCAAGAGTCCTCCTGCAATCGAGGAAAAAGCCCCGCGATGATCCGCCCATTGGCGTATTAACCAACGTCACCGGCCAATGGGCTAATTGCTTAATTAGCTCCGCGAGTCGTTGCATATTCTAATCAGCAATTCTCGCGAAAGCGTGAGAAAATAGAACTGTCTCTCCCATCTTCGCGGCGTGCTTTTGTCAAAAGCGCATATTAGACGGAAAGCTATACGCGACTTTCATTCTCCGCGGGAAACGGTATCGGCTTACATGCACATTCTATCTGGAGGTCAATCCGTACCGAAGCTGCCGAAAACGAGGAACCGCGCAGTTAGCCGTTTCCGTGAGAAAGACTAAAAGTCACACGCAAACTGCTATTTCGACGACATATCAGCGTCTGATGTCTCGCTTGCTTGGGACGTAACAACAGAAAATTTATGTACAAAGAAGATAAAATAAAAAGTACGCCAGAGATTGTATTGTTTCTAACTAATAATATGGGGTTGTTTTACTGAAACATAAAATTTTAAGGGATATTAAAAAGGAAGGATATAAACAGATATTAGTGGACATCGCTATTATATTATTTGGAACGCATTTGATCGATTCTTTTTTCACTTCTTAACAAAATAGCGACTCGAAATACACTTTTAAATTATGTACATAATATTTAATCTCACACAATCCGAAGAGTTTTTATTCTGTTATAAGCAATAAATTGAATAATAACCCCAAGTAAACAGTACGGTTCAAACTGTCGTGTGAGTAAGACGTGTCTATTATTCGCTCCGATTAGTGATTCGTGTGTTTACGTATATACGTAGCGGTCTTACCGCTGCGTAGGTAGTGTTATAATCAGCACTTCAGTATAATATATTATAACCTTTTGAAAAAAAAAAAGGTATTTTACAAAATGACTGGCGTTGCGCCAGCTAAGGAAACTGCTAACATCACCCAAACCATGTCGCTAACCCTGCAAAGGACTAGTGATAATTCTCAAAGCACAGATATAAATGACTCCAATACAAGAAAAAATTCAACGAAACCGTTTTCAAGAGTAGTAAGCAACAGCTTGTTCCCCAAGAAGAGTGCTGCCATCGTTATAGACACTCTAGAAGGCATTGAAATGAAAGAATACATACGCGCTATAGCAACCAAAACATCACCTGCAAATATTGTTGCCGCTTCCAAGATATCCCAAAATCGATTCTGTTGCTACTTTAATAGCGAAAGTGTAGTTGAGCTTTTAGGCAATGACACGATTGATATCGGTGATCAAAAACTGAAAATGAGGCCATACGTCATTAAATCAAGAAGAGTCATTTTTTCGAACGTACATCCAAGTATTCCCCATGACGTAATAATTGATCTTATGAAAGCAAAAGGCATTACTCCTAAGTCAAATATGAGTTGGATTAAACTGGGATTCTCTGAAGTAGGTTTCACACACATTCTCAGTTTTCGTCGGCAAATATTCATAGATCCCAAGGACATAAACAAACTCCCCAACGAGTTTACACTCAACTACGACGACTCGCTTCACCACATATATGTATCTACAGATAAGATCAAATGCTTTAGGTGCAACGAGGAAGGACATACGGCTCCGTATTGCAAGAAGGCAGTAGAAAAAACTACTGAAGATAACGGTCATATAAATAATGGTCATATTATAGCTCCAAACACAACAGAGAAAGACTCAGAGGTAAACACTAAACAACAAACAAAACTTGAATTCAATGGTCAACAGCTGTTCGCAAACCAAAGGACTACTCTTAGTAACACCTTAGCTAAAAGACAACTTTCGGTAACGTCTAAATCTAATGAAAGCCTCACCACCTCTCTGTCTAAAGATGAAGATAATACAAAACAAAAAATCAAACAAAAGCCAAAAAGAAAAAAGCTCGTTACTCCCAAGGAACCGCCAGCTGATTTGCAATTACGAATCGACATAGCATTAACTAATGTCTCTGTAACTTCGAAACAAACTTACCCTCTCACATCTGTAGAACTAGGTCAATTCCTGCAAGACTCTTACAAATGTCAATATCAGGATGTATATTCACTAGCTGAACAAAACACAACAAATATAATAGCACTAATTATCATGCTTAATGATGTGCACACGTACATCAATGGCAGAAATATCAAAAGAAGACTTACTGTTATTACTAAACATCTTAAGGCATATCTACAAGATATGGAAATAGATGAAGAAGACGATGAAACAGAGTCAATAACAAACAGTGATTTAGAAAGTAATATTGATTAACATTCTTACAATCCCCAATTAATTTAGACACTTTGTTTCACGGCAAAATAATATGCACACTAAAATTGGGAGTAGTAATACAAACATTACCATGTCAACTAAGATTAGAATACTATACTGGAACCCTCGAAGTGTTCGCAATAAAAAAGAAGAAATTGCTAAAATATTACAAGATATTGATATATTAGTTTGTGTGGAATCATGGCTGCAAGACAACGACAAATTCATGTATTCTGGTTTTCATACTTTAAGGAGAGACAGAGTAGGTAAAGCAGGTGGCGGCATTGTATTTTTGATACGCAACACATATAATTATGCTAGAATTAACAATATAAATAATGTAAACAATCATGTTGAAATATGTGGAATGGAGATCACCAACATTAAAGAACCTATTTCAATTATTGCGTGCTATTTACCTCCGAATATAAAATTAAATGAATATGAATGGCATTTGCTAATGAACAATGTCAATATAAACAGCAAAAGTATTCTAATTGGTGACTTTAATTCACATAATGTAGCATGGAATTGCGTTAATACTGATGACAATGGCGAATTATTATTAGAACAATATGAAAAACAAGACTTGTTTCTACATAACAACAATACGTTTACACACATTAACACTAACAACAACACCAAATCAAATATTGACCTGGTCTTTTCCACAATTAATATTGCGCATCTCTTAAAGGTTAATGTGGCTAACGATTCTCGTGGTTCAGATCATTTTCCAATAGGTATTGAGCTTGATGCAGAGAAATATAATTATTACAAACTTTCTTTTAAAATACAATCAAAACGTACCAACTGGAATAAGTGTTCGGAATTACTAGAAGAGAAACACGCAGAATTCTTGAATTCTGAGTATGACTACCTATCTACCCTAGAAAAGTATGAGTTATTTACGAAAACCATTAAAGAAACTGTAGCTAAATGTACTCCTAAAAATATACGACACCAAAATAAAAATCATAGAAATCCGGTTGCTTGGTGGGATGCCGACTGCGATAGAATAAAACGTCTTAGGCAGACTGCTTATAAGAAGTGGGAATATACCAGTAACATTTCAGATCTAATCGAGTATAAGAGAATTAGGGCAATTGCTAGTAGAACGTTTAAATTTAAAAAAAGGAATGCTTTCGTAAATTCACCGAATCAATAAACCTGTATACCAACTTGAACTAAACTTGGAATACAGCTAAAGTTTTCAAAAATAAGTGTATTAAAGTTAACCCTCAGAGCATGGATGAATTTCTACATAAAACAAGACTAATCGAAACAGCACGTGTGTGTGAACAATATGTGTCCTGAATGGATCCCCTCTGACCCCTTAGCCCTTCCCGACACCACCGACAATCCGTTTTTTGATGAATATTTTAGCTATACTGAATTCAATACTGCGTTGCAATCGAGAGGTGACAAATCGGCTCCTGGTATGGACGGTATCAATTATGAAATCTTGCATAATTTACCAATCAAGTACCACTTGTTATTATTAGACATTCTTAATGAAATGTATCGAAACGATGTTTACCCAGATACCTGGATACAAACGTTTATTCATTTCGTTGATAAGCCAAACGGTAATGGCTTACGCCCCCTAGCCCTAACTTCATGTATCTGCAAAATATTTGAATTAATGATTTCGTATAGAATTAGATGGTGGGTCGAAAATCAAAATATCTTACCACCGAGTCAAACAGGCTTTAGAAAGGGGATGTCCTGCATGGACAATCTTACCACATTCAAACTTGATATTGATAACGCCTTTAAAAATAACGAACAAGTACTTGCGGTATTCCTTGACGTAAGTAATGCTTTTAACGAAGTACACAATCAAATATTATTATCTATTTTGGCAAACAACGGCTGTTCAGCCAAAATAATAAAATTTGTTAAATTTCTCACTAAACATAGGTTGATTTATTCGAATATTAACGATAGCATACCTAAACATTGTTACAAAGGTGTTCCACAAGGCGGTGTTTTAAGCCCACTTTTTTATATTCTTTATGTTGCTGGTATATTCAAAGATCTTGACATCAATATTAAAAACTTACAGTTTGCAGACGATGTAGTGTTATATATTCAAACGAATGACTGCGATTCGGCTATACCTATTTTGGAAAATTCACTTGCTGTTATTACTCAAAGACTAAGAGCGATTGGTCTGGACATCAAACCAGAAAAAACCAATTTCGTACACTTCAATAAACAAGATTATTTACCTGGTGACACCGAAATCGTTCTAAATAACGTAAGTTTACCATCAGTAAGCCATGCTAAATTTCTTGGATTATACTTTGATTACGAACTAAACTTCGATAGACACTTGCGTTATGTTCACGAAAAAACACGCAGAGCAATCAATATTGTAAAATTTCTTAGAGGAGTTTGGTGGGGTGCTCATCCCAACACACTAATCACATTTTATAAGAGTTTTGTAAAGTCGATAATCGAATATGGTTCTTTTATATACTATCCTATACAAAAAGCTAAAAAAGAAAAACTAGATAGAATACAGTATGCAGCTATAAGAATGGCCCTAGGTGCAAGGATGAGCACGCCTACTAATATCCTACTTGATGAATCGAAATTATTAATGTTACAGCATAGGACGAAGTTATTATGTAAAAATTTTTTACTTAAGACATTTAGCATCAAGCGCTCGCTTACCCGTACAGCCATAAACAAATATGCGATTGATATAACCTCCGACCGAAAGAAAAAAACAACTGTGTTAAACGAATGCATAAAAAATATACTTTGTATTGAGCACTTGATATATTCCCAAGATAACGCTTGCTTATATAACTACGATTATGATATTATGAAAACGCACATCAATACTACTACTGAGCATGGTTATAAACTCAAAAAAAGCGATAAACCCGACGAGCTGTTTAATAATACCTTCGCGAGGGCTAATACAATTAAAATATTCACTGACGGTAGTAAAACAGCATTTGGTAAATCAGTTGGTAGTGCCTGTATCGTTCCTGAGTTAAACGTGGTTAAAACGAGAAATATCATTAATAATGCATCAATCTTTACTGCCGAATGTATAGCCCTCTCTGATGCCATGGATATAGCTCTAGAGTTTATTAACTACAACATCGATATATACACTGATTCGCTCAGCCTGGTGCAAGCACTAAACAACCCAATAAATAAAGTCGACATTAACTACCATCTCTTAGAGATAAGAAGTAAATACTTAACATTCTACAACAGATCGGACGGTAAAGCAATTATAACGATACACTGGGTACCTGCACACGTTGGAATCACAGGCAACGAACTTGCTGATCAACACGCTAAAAAAGCTACTGAAAGGCTTCCATTAGTTAAACGTATTCCATACAGTGACTTCAAGCAGCGCTTTAAGCAATTATTAAATAACGAGACGTATAATATCATTAAAACATCAAGCAAAACTAAAGGTAAAATCTACTTTGACTTGTATTGTAATAAAAGCTCCCGACCATGGTTTTCGGAGCATTCATTTTCTCGTGATTTTGTAGTAACAATATTACGTTGTCGAAGCAATCATAATAGTCTTAAGGAATCACTTTTTAAAATTAAAGTCGTCGAAGATGAGCTATGTGAATGCAAATGGGGAGTACAAGACTTAAACCATGTAATATGGCAATGTCCATTGTACGATAAGCAGAGAGTGAGTTTAATAAGATCTTTAACTAAAGCCAAACAATACCCCCCATTTGACATTAAAAGCTATTTACACAAACCTAATAATTACTTTATCCAAATAGTGTATAGATTCATTAAAAATTGTAACATTAAGATCTAAAGTAATAGAAATGTAAACTCGCAAAGTTTATTTATTTATACTATAAATATATAACTTATCATACTTTGTACAATTTTAAATTAATATTAATTCTAGTATACAGCTAAATAACTATTGTATAATATATGTAATATTATATGATGAAGTTAATAAAGCTATAAATTAAAAAAAAAAAAAAAAAAAAACCCCAAGTAAAGTACTAATATTGATTCACAATAGCAATTGCTGAAAAATAAACAAATCTTTCTGCAATATAAGAAAGTTCTTAAGTAAAAGTTACTCCACGCTTAACAAAAGCATTACAATTTTTCCGATAAATAATAAAAGTATATATTTAAAACTAATAAATATGCATGAAATTGAGGAAATCATTTGTAAAATTAAAAAAACAAAAACCAAGGTATTGACAGGTCATTATCAAATTATAATTAATGTCTGTATTGAAAATGATATCTAGCTTGATGCACTAAATAAAATAGAAATATGCATAAAGTAAAAGAAAAATAATCATGATTAATATCATTGACTTTCAACGTAGTTAAATTTTTTGAAAAATTATACACAAAAGAATAGTAAATTTTATAAATAATAGCAAATTGATATCTATCAATTAATTAGGACTTTTTTATTTTCAGTATTTATTTACAATCTGTTGTTGAACAATAAGTAAATGGCATTAAATAATTATACAATTAGTTATAATATTACTTGTAACATTATATGGAAGTACTTTACCATTGATCTGTACCAGAACATTAAATATTATGATATTTTTATTCTATACAAATGGTATTTTATATTTTTGAAATCTAAATTACATTATATAGATTAAAATTTTTTCAATTTAATTATTTCTTTTTGATTCAAATATGATCTCTCCACGTCAGCAGTTGGTTCAGGTGTATTCCAAGATATTTAGCTTTTCCTCCTTATATAATTTCAATTTCTTCTCAATTTCATTTTTGTTCTCATATATTTAAGTAAATATTTATTAACTGATATATTTGAAAGATTAATAAATAATAGGAATCTATAAAAATACAAAGCCATTTGAAAAATTCAGGAGCGTAGTTAAAGTTATTTTTATTCAATCTTATATTACAACAAATGAAACTTTTTAAATTAAAATTCTCAGCATTATTGTAAGTAACATAATCGAATTGCAATTTTTTTATATTTTTTATGATAAATCAAAGCGTTTCTTGACGATCAAAATATCATATTTTCTATTTTCTATTCAGTCAAACCTATTATGATAAAAAATAAATTCAAGTTTATAACTATATTTCTTTAAATACTTAGATTTCTGAAGTAACTTACCAGAATCAAATAAATCATAATAGTTTTACAATGTGCTTTAAAGTAATTTGGATAATTAACGTTATCCAATTAATATTTAAAAAAAAAGATACTCAAACTAATGTGAAAACAGTCGTGAAGTATAATTTTCCCAAAGAAATAACCTTGAATGTCTGTTATTGTATAATAACTTACTTATGCCCTCTCTTGGTAATTTTATTTCCACGTATTAGTTGTTTTTATGACATTTTTGTAACTTCTGGTATCAAAATCACACCATCGATGTCCGCTTTCAAATCAAAGTTATTATACCACCTAAAATATAATTAAAAAATTAATTATATTTTGTTTTTACAGATGAGAGACATATACTCTGCTTTTTAAATTACTTACTTCAGTTATCAATCTGCCCAATAACTTTAACTTTCTTATCTAGATTTAGCTTGTCAATGTAGTTGACAATATGGATCGGCACCTTCTACGATCCATCAGTAATAGAACCACATCAATAAAACTCTTGTTTCACATTTAGTATTTTGGTGAAATTCATCTTGATAAAATGTTCTATAGCTGTAAAAAAGAAATCTTATTATTGAAAAATTGTTTATAAATAAATATTAAAGTAAATAGACAAAATTACTCACCAACTATTCCTTCAGATTTACCAATTTCTTCGAAAGAGACGAGACTGGTATCTTACCAATGTATAAGTCAGGATTCTTATACAGGCCAAGATACTCTATATTAATAGCATCATTGATAAGCGATTTGAAAGGGACTAAGTTATTAATTTCTTTATAGTATGACGTAGCAACTGCACGTTATTTACAAGTAGCACCATCCATATGTAAAATCTAAAAGAAACTAAAAAATATTATTTGATAAATTTTGAAAAAGAAATATTTTTGACAATTAACTTAAACGTCCAAAATGTATGTGAACTTCATACTTATATTACGTCTACGCCAAATAATGTTTAGGCGCGAGGTTCAAAGCGAATAGGTAGTGTTTTAGGACTAAGTGCGGGAGCCGCGAGCAAAGGACATGCGATAAATAGAACGAAAGTAAAAAATAACAATTTACATGTGTAGAATAATTAATAACTTAAGTATACTCTTACCTTTTTAATAATTATTATCTGATGGTAATTAGTTGCTGCTGGTCCTCGTTTAATAATTCGCCCGATACGTGAATTAATTTAAAAGGTAAAAGTTAAATAAAAAGTAGCAGATATTTTAGTTACACTCTTTAATCAAAGTAAAAAATTCTTTTAAAATGAAATAATCGTTCTTAAAACCTCAAAACTTTGTAACTATTTCTGTATTTGATATTTCTTTACCAAAGTTTACACAGTGTTTTAGAATAACAGAAGAAATTTAAAATTGATCTGTTTGATCAGTTGGCATTTGTTTTTTAAAATTTCATGGAAAAAAGTAAAAAAAATAATAAAATTATTTTCACTTAATCATTAAGAATTACTTTGGTAAAAAATTTTTAATAGTTTTAAATATTTTCAGGTTTTGGAAACGAACACTCAATTTTAAAAAAATTATGAAATTATATTAAATTGTAACGGTCCTATATATGAGCTATTTATTAAATTATTAAATGACTGCAACTAGTCTAACGTATTTATCTGTTTAGTCAAAACAATACATTAAGCGACGCTACCTCACTGTTTACGCGACTGTATACAAATAAGAGTCGAGTCAAAACAAATAGCGTGACGTCACAAATAATAGACATAGATATAATGATCCATAATGTTGAGAAAATATGTTAATTATAGATAATTTGAATATAACAAAGTATCGATTATATAGATTTTAACATACAGATTCACAACATCTCATTCAATTATAAATTAATAATGAATATCAATATGTAAAGTTAATTTATTTATTAACATATGAAATATTAGAAAAATATAAATAATTTATATGTAAAATGAATAAGCATAGAACATGAGTAAGAATTGGTTTCATTAATAACAGCTAAATAACAACTGTTATTAATAAATAAACAATTAATAATTTATTTAAACAATAAGCTATATATAGAACGAAAATATTAAGTTAATACTTGATAATGACAATTTTATGATTGAGAAATCTTAGATAATTAATCTAATAATCGCATATTAAGGATAGGAGAAAACCGTTACAAATATGAAAAATTAGTCATAATTCAAATGTTATTAATTAATTTAAATAATTAATTTTGGAAAACACTTCCAAAATTAATCAACTATAAGGTTATATGAAATTTTAATAATTTTCTATTGTAAATAATGTAATATCACGTTAATTAACTTTATTAGTTAATAACTTTTGACGACACTATTGGCGATAACTGTATATTGTATAAAATCAACAAATAACTAATTCTGTAAAATTTACATATGTTAAAAACTTAATATTAATGGTTATTTACTTGTAAATTAAGAAAAATCATTTCTCAAAATTCGCGAATGTCTCTCGAATTTTCGATGAAATCTCTCCTGCAATAATAAGCGAGAAAATCTATGTATAAATAGGCCCACCTTTGCACAGGCTAGATTCATTCACTTCTAGCCTTGCAAAGTGAGCGCATGAGTCTGAATAAACTTGGCTTAATATCTAAGTTCTTTCTCTCATTGTGATTAACTAAGCAAGACTAACCTTTCCTTATAATTTGAGCTCAACTTATAGAACATCTCGCGCTATAAGAAACTTGGGCCGAATTATATCCTATCAAAGAAAGACTTTAGCTCTGCTTATGGGACAATTCGCACCATAAGAAACTAGGGCATTGTCTGACTTTCCTTGATATATTGCAATTACTTATGTATATTTGATTTACTTATTTATTATGTTTGATTCATTTATCTATTTTCTTGACAATTAGAGTAAAATCATCGGAAACAAATTCTTACTCATTAGCTAGATTACGAGAGTTCGAATTATTTTTATTTATAAGTGATACGAACATCACATTTGGCGACCGTGACAGGACTCTTGTTACGTTAGTTATTGTTAAGTATTTGTTATTTATTTTATATAAGTTTGTGATTTAATTGTAAATTTTTATATACCGAAAAGAAACAAACATATGCGAGCAGTACTATGTAAAAATGCGTCACTGGAAAAAGAAATAAGTGAACTGCGTACATTGTATATGGAACTTGCGGAATCCTTTGTTAATTTAGGCAATAATTACAAAAAGAACATGAAATTATTTGATACTAGTTTGAGAAATATGAGCTCTGATTTGAATCATTTGGCTGACACCGTAGAACATATATTAGTATCTAGGCCTGCTCCAGGCGCATAAATTGTATTATTATTTATAATAAATTTGATTACTACGATATATAATTTGAATTTGTTCAATTATTTGTTAAATCCTAAACGGGGTATGACCGTTTAATTAATATATCGCGTGATTATACTAAGGGGACACGCGTGGATCGTTATTGCTCACTACTATTGCGGGAGAGCACGAGAAAATATACGCCAGTCAACCGATTATTCGTTTATAACCTAAACTAAATTGAGTGGAAGCTATGTGAGAAGAGAGAATTAATGAAAACACTTGTTAGTAAGGTCAATTGGCTCTTTTATTATCCTTCTAAACTCACAAAAGATCGGCCCGCGCGTTTGTTTACATGCACGCTCGCTCATCGACAACACACTTTGCCGGTACGCTCGCTGCTCTTTGTTACTAGAGCCTTACATGCACGCATCGAATACCGAGAGTTATCTATCAGTCATGCAATTCCGATCGCGTAATTAAGCTGGCCAGCTTACCTTTTATCTGCAGGCGATCGGAGAAAACTATCACGGGTCGCACAGCACGGAACAGTTCAACGTTGTCTTATCGTTCGCGAGTCGCGAGTACGCGCACACACCGGTTTCGCCCTCGATGGCGAAACCTCACACACTCTCTCTCTCTCTTGATCGGGCCTCTGACTCGCAGCTGGGCAGCTCCTCGGCGGCGACAATCCTGGATTGCTAATTACGGCTGTTTCCGAAGCGTGTGGGTGTCAAGGGCACGTGAATTGACGAACGATAGCGTGAGCGGATGGACGGCACGATGGTCTATGCTTCACTGGTTCAAATCTTGTCGCGCGCGTTCCGTCCGCTCGCGTGCCGAATTCCTTCGTTACATATTTTTGTCCCCCCCCCGGGAGGTGCTGCCCTCACGGACAACAATAAGGTTAAGTAATTAGCGCTAACTTGACGTTTACCGTCACAATTGTTGAAAATTGATTGATTAATATCATCTATATATATTATTTATTATTGGTGTTGAATTAATTGTATGCTTTGGAATTTTTTTGTTGATATTACAATGTCAAACGAAAAACATTCAATGTATAATTCTACTGAATGTGCTCCCGAAACAATTCTTAACGAACTTAGTGAATCACTAATTGGTGAAGAATTGACCGGGCAACAAAAAAGAACGCACGAATGGGAAAAAGCTGTAGTAGATGAATTAAAGACATTTCATACTGATCAATTTAAATTACAAAATGATTTTAAGACAATTTGTGAAACTATTAACAATTTAAGTAATAAAGTTAATAGATTAACGAATAAAATGGTTGAACAAGATCAAATAATTAAGAGTTTAGAATCAAATTTAGAAAAGTCAAATGAAATTATTGCTATTTTAAAAGATAGATGTGAAGATAATTTTAATGATATTGTTCGAGCGAAAAATAATGTTACTATGGAAATGAATGAAACATTTTCAGTACTTCGTGAGAATATTGATAAAATTAAGAATAATGAACAAAATAGATCAATTGTTAATGAAACTATTATTGAAACTATTAAGCAACCTGCTTTAACGTGTCCAGTTTTTGACGATAGTTATAAATATCGACCAGTAAAATATTTAAATGATCTCAAACGTTATTTGCAAGCGAGTAATTACAATACTGCTCAATTGTTATGTTTGTTATCTCAATCTATGACGGGAGTAAATTTTTCTTGGTATGATTTAGTACAGCGGAAAATTAGAAATTTTGAAGATTTTGAAATGTTATTTAAAGAGAAATTTTGGAACGCTGAAATACGTAGAAATATTACTCGCGAAATAGAATTTGGAAAATATTTTGGTGGAAAATTATCACGTTATAATTATGCTATACGTAAAATTAATTTAGCTTTTGATATAAATGAAAATCTAGATGAAGAAGAATTAATAGATAAATTATCTCGACATTTTGATAGAGATGTGCGTTTATTAGTTCAAGCTAGACATATAAAAAAGATATCAGAATTTATTAAAGTTTTATCTTCTTTGGATAATGATGATTATATTAGTTCACGTCATGCTCAAAAAGATAGCGGCGGAGAACAACAAATTAATAGCATAACAATTGAAAATAGTAAGTCGAATAATAAGAATAATAAAGCTAATAAAAATAAGAATATTGCAAAACCGATTTTACAAGATGTACCTAGTACTTCCTCGGGAAACGAGTAAATGTTGCTTCTCGGAAATCGGATAAATGCAAAAGCTTGCAACGAGTTGCAACAATAAAATCAAGTAACGATTTATTATCAAAAGAATTATTAACTATTTTTGAAAATCCTAGACATGAAATGAACGGTGAATTATCAAATAACGATAATAGCAATGGAGGCAGAATTTGTCCTGAAATATTTCTTTTATTAGAAAACATTCCAGTAAAAGCTCTACTTGATTCGGGTAGTGAAGTTTCTGCTATTTCAGAAGAATTTTACAATCAAAACTTAAGTAATTTTAAAGATAAACCTACTTTGCCGATT